AACACTATGATACTAATGTAGGATCATACCTTATGTAATGGGGAAACATCTACCTGTTATTTATTTATTTAACTTATATGCTGCCCACACTACCCAAATGTCTCTGGGCGGATTTTCTTTGTAATGCTAGAACCCGTGTCATTCAGCAGTGGGAAACCAAGTACAAAGTAAACCTTCATATAGTATATGGGCTCATGATGGAATTTGCAACCACAAGATATAATGATAGCTTCCAGCTTGGATGGCTTTGAAAAAAAGATTAGATAAATTCATGGAAGTCAAGACCATCAACAGCTTCTAGTCAGGATGGCTATGTCCTACTTCCAACATCATAGACCGTAATACTACCCAATACACCTTACAAAGGAACGTGAGTGGAAAGGTACATTTATACTTTTGTCTGGTTTGTGGGTGTCCCAGAGGTGGACTTCCAAGACCACTGGAAATAGAGGACAAAACATGTGGGACTTGATGGGATATTCATCTGATCTAACATGGCCTTTCCCCCGTTCTTTCAGATAATGTCCTAAAGATGATGGTCTTAACCCATCTCCTAAAAAAAGCATTGCAAGGGACCACCTTCGGATAGCTTAGTGGCCCTGTTCCTGTAAGAGCAACACAACACAACAGAACTTCAAAAGGTTCCCTTATCTCCTCCTCATGACGGTACCACTAACTTGGGAAAAGCCTTATCTGTTACCGTACATTTTTATCTGTTACGTATTATTAAAACTTGGGAACCCAGCCAAATAAAGAGGGAGGCAATCTTAAATAACTGTGATGATTCAAATACTATGTATGGAAACAATCAGGGCCTAATTTATAGTTTTACAGCACTATCCATGGTAACAAACAGAAGGGGTGAGTATCACTGTGATATGATAATGTGTGATTCATAGGCAGCTTGCAGGTTTATCTACAGTATAAAACATTTTAAGAAAAGCAACAGTAACACTTAAAAGCACTAATACTGATGACTCAGCAACATAAAGTGCTTTGAAGTGAGGAAACACCACAATACCTAAAAGCATTGGGCAAGCATTAGGGTCCATTAACATTATTATTGCATGTTACTGGACCTGGTATTCTTGTTGACTGGAAACTGCTATAACTCTACCTTCCCCAGAGTCCTACCTGTTGCAAAGGGATTTTCCCCATTGTTTCCTGCTGCTTGCTGACTCCCTTCTTCAGTTTGTTTTGCAATTTAATAATTGCATATAATTGTGGTTTTTGTATAACCCATGTTATTATATGGGTTGACCAGATCTTTGCTAGAAATAAGTTTCTGGTATCGATCAAGAGAGAGGGACATTTCCTGACAAGTCTCATTTTCTTCCACTCTCTCACACACAGGGCTACCTTGGGCTCTTTTTTTGGCCTCTCAAAGCAGTTGTGCTCAGCACGGCATGCATTATACCACCAGCTAGTGTAGGGGGGCAGAGGAGGCAGGATATAGGAATCATATACTATGAGACCAAATGAAAAGTACCCTGATCTGTTTCTTGGCAAAAAAACAGCCCCAGACATGATGTCTTTTTGCAGTGACAATGAACACCCAAATTAAATATGTTGTGTACAATTGAGTGTCTGTCCCATTTTTTAAACTTATAATCATGCATGTGGGGCCCCCATCTTGACTGGGACCACCACAGATGGGTAGAGGAGTTTGTTTCCCATCGATTCATGCAGATTTCCTCGGAGCAGCCCAGGTTGGAGAAGAAACAAACAGACACCCTCTAAAAGAAGAGTCTAGCAGTGATGACTGTAGTAGCAACCCACTGAATTCACATTGAACCTGATGTAACATAAGAAGAGTCCACAGGAAGAAGTTGCCTAGTGGAAGAACAATATTTTTCTCAATTTCCCCGCTAGAGACACGAATCTTTGCTTATTTCATTTTCACAGTACAAACCAAAACATTCATGAGTTTTCTCCCCACTGGATAGGATAGAAAGGATTTTTGTGCATTTTTCACATTTTGGGATTTTGTTGTCAAAAATTTGGAAAAGCATTTTTGCTCCAAAACAAATTTTGCTCAAAAGACTCGTTTTGTCTTGGAATTTTGCTCAAAATGCAAGGTTTTAATATAAGATGCAAAGGTTTCCGTGCAGAGTTCAATGGTTTCCTACAAAATACAGCCCTTTTTTCTAATGCTGCTGATAGGGAAATGAGTCTAGTCTTTTTACTGTGCTCATGCAGGAGCACAGGGTGTCTCAAAGGTGTCAAGATACCCTTCTTTGGCAGGGAGGAAACAATTTGTGGACATTTCTGACTTCCTTATTCCCTGGGTCTTGCTTAAGCACGAATTCCACACAATGAGGCTCTGAGGCTGCTTTGTGGTGTAAAATAACAATGGCTTGCTGTGAGAGAGGGGAGACGGAAGGTAGTATCCTTTGATTTTGTCCTCCCTTTTCACATAGGTAAAGGTAAAGGTTCCCCTGGCTTTGTGGTGTAAAATAACAATGGCTAACTGTGAGAGAGGGGAGACGGAAGATAGTATCCTTTGATTTTGTCCTCCCTTTCCACATAGGCCTCCGCAAGCAATTCGAATGCACACGGGTTCATTCAGTAAGACATAAACAAGACCTCACATACGCTCTGCTCCCAGAGCAAGCACCGGTGCTCTGCGCACAGCTTCCCTGGCCCTTTAACCAAAGGCCATCAATAATTTATTCCCCTCTTGCAATTCATGAAATATTGATATTTCCCCTGAACTCCCCACTACTGATAGGCCAATATCAAGGTGAAGGGATGAGGATGGGTGAACCTGAGAGTCCAAAGGAGTATCTTACGACTGCTTGGTCTTCTGACCCTGCAGCACAGGCTTCTGCGGTTTAGCCCATAGCGCCACCATGTCCCTTTTCACATAGGCCTCCGCAACCAATTCGAATGCACATGGGTTCATTCAGTAAGACATAAACAAGACCTCACATACGCTCTGCTCCCAGAGCAAGCACCGGTGCTCTGCGCACAGCTTCCCTGGCTCTTTAACCAAAGGCCATCAATAATTTATTCCCCTCTTGCAATTCATGAAATATTGATATTTCCCCTGAACTCCCCACTACTGATAGGCCAATATCAAGGTGAAGGGATGAGGATGGGTGAACCTGAGAGTCCAAAGGAGTCTGCGGCCAGCTAACTCACCTAAGGCACAAAGCAAGCAGGAACCTGCTCTGATGCTTTGCTGCCAGACAACTTCACGTTGTCCCCCGCCCCCTGTCACTTTTTTGCCCACTTCATTTTTCTTCTTCTTCTGGATGTGGAAAATGTCACTGAGTTTTATGAGCCATCAAGGCTAGCTGCCAAACGGTGAGAAGTCATGGCTCAGCTCTCCGAGAACCTTACTAAGATTGGGAAACGCCTGAGAAGTCATGAGGTTTTCAATGTTATTATTTAAAAAGCCGTCTCCTGCCTCAGCCCATGAAATTCAAAGCAGCTGACAACTTTTCCTCCCAGGGAGAATACAAGCAAGATGAGGGGAGAAATAGGTACGCTTCCTTGAGCATGAAAGACATGATATAAAATAATTAAAAACTGTATGTTGAGTCTCATTTTTGCAGAGGTAAGTCAGATAATTCACTTATTAGGCTAGATTTGATTATAAGCACCAGCCCGAGTGACCAGACCTTTGAAAAAGTTACTCTTTTGTACCATAGCTTTCAGTATATTCTCCTGGCTTTCCCAGGCTGTGATAGCATCTAGGAAAGCACCAAGTATCTTTCCACTGTTTGCGCCCTACCAGAGAAAAACTGGACTGTTGAGGCAGTGACACTGGTGGAAACAGCTGTATGAAGTGGGGTGAGACGGAGTGTGGAAGAAGGAGGCATAATTTTCACTCCTATTCCCAAGTAAAACTAGAGTCTTCTTAATATGAGTTATTAGGTAACAAAATTAGGTATTACATTCCCCCCTTCTAAATCTTAAATCTGATGAAATCTGAGAATGGTGGTGAATAGGATGTTCATACTTGTTTCTGCAATGTGTTACATGCATTCAAGTCACTTCTGACTTCTGAGGTGATCAAGTTATAGTTCATTACTGCCACCCCTCCCAGTAAGTTTCCATAATCCAGCAGAGATTTGAACCCAGGTCACTTGAGTTATACAGTCTGTCACTCTATATCCACTACGCCACACTGGCTTTCATCGTTTGTGCAGTGTCTCCAGTGAATCTGAGAAGCAAGGATTCACTCTGTTCACCTAAGTGTCTTTACAAAAAAAGTTCAAGAAGGCCAAACAGAGCATGCATCAAATATCTGTACTTCAGAAAAAGATTCACACTGTGCAGTTGCTGTATCTCAAAAAGGATATTTTACCAGAGTTACAGACAATGTGGCTTTCCATTCCTAAGCTGCCTCTGTTCTCCCACCACTTCTTCAGCCTTTTTTGTTTCCAAAATAATCTATTAAGGAGGAAAGAAGGATTAATTCCAATATGTCCTTTGGTTGGTAGTGTTAGAAGCCTTCTCTCTTGCAACATCCCTACCTGTAATGGATATCTTCTTTTTGACATTCTCAAGAAGCTTTCCCATAATTGTTTCTTTATTGCAGTCTATGTCATGGAGGAAGCAGTCTTGAAATAGTTACGGTTAAATGATAAAACGTGAACAAAGGCAAAAGGTGGCAATCAGATTATTGGGAGATGAATCAGATTATTGGGCAATCAGATTATTGGGATATGTCTAAGGAAAAGGGAAGCCCACAATAGCAAGTTTTGCATAAACAGAAAATCTCACAGGGCTAAAGGTAACTAAATGCTTTGTAATTGGATAAGGATATAGATGGATATGAAGTATTTTTGTGTGTGTAAGGTTTACAGTTATGATTTTGTAGGCTCATCTGTCTTCCTTCCCAAGATAATTGACAAGTAATAGCAGACACATGAGTAAAATAAGAGAATAAAAACATACAATTTGATTGTTTATGCTTTTCTGCAAGTCCTTATGAACAGCTATGTACACGTCTCCTTGAGAACTAATTGCTGTCTCCTATATTATTTTAGGGGTGACCCAGACAAATGTGATATCTGGGGGAACACGCCTCTCCATCTGGCAGCAGCCAATGGCCATCTGAATTGTTTGTCCTTCCTGGTGTCTTTTGGGGCCAATATTTGGTGTCTGGACAATGACTACCATACACCGCTGGACATGGCAGCCATGAAGGGCCACATGGAGTGTGTGCGTTACTTGGATTCCATAGCTGCCAAGCAGAGCAGCCTCAACCCCAAATTGGTGGGCAAGCTGAAGGATAAGGCCTTCAAAGATGCAGAAAAGCGCATTAAGGACTGTGTGAAGATGCAGAAGAAGCACCATGAAAGGATGGAGAAGAGGTACAAGAAGGAGATGTCTGACTACTCGGACACCATGAGCTTCTCCAGCTACTCCAGCAGCACTTTGAGCAGGAGGTTCCAAAACATGTCTATGATGACTTCCTTGCCATATTCTCAGGCCACCATTCATGGCACCGCCAAGGGCAAGACCAAGATTCAGAAAAAGCTGGAAAAGAAGAAGCAAGTGGATGGGACTTTCAAAATCTATGAGGATGGGAGGAAAAGTGTGAGGTCCCTGTCTGGCTTACAGCTGGGCAATGATGTTATGTTTGTGAAACAAGGCACGTATGCTAGTCCAAAAGAGTGGACCCGGCGCAACATTCGCGATATGTTTCTGACTGATGAAGACACCATCTCCCGTGCCATAAGTGATCCAGGTTTGCACATGGACTCAGCCCATTCTGAAGTCAGCACTGATTCTGGTCATGATTCTTTATTCAATCGCCCTGGGCTTGGCACCATGGTTTTCCGTAGGAACTATGTCAGCGGTGGACTTTTTGGGATCGGGCAGGATGATCCCATGCTGGGGGAGGGTAACATGGATAGGATGGGTATTAAACTTCACAGCCACCTGCAGCGCTCGCCAAGTCTCAACGACAGCATCGGCAGTGCCAACAGCCTGCAGGAGAGGAATGTGGAGGAACTGCCATGGGATGAGATGGAACTGGGCCTGGATGATGATATTGAACCTGAAACCAGCCCCTTGGAGACCTTCCTGGCATCCTTGCATATGTTTGAGTTCATCTCTATCCTTAAGAAGGAGAAGATCGATCTGGAAGCTCTTATGTTGTGTTCGGACAATGATCTGAAAAGCATCAACATTCCACTGGGGCCCAGGAAAAAGATTCTGGATGCCTGCCAGAGGAGGAAACAGACTTTGGAGAACCCCAATATCATAGAAGACACTGACTTGTAAGCAACAGAGCCCTAGCTTCATACTCATGGATACGCATGGGTCTTCAACACGTGACGAGCCTAACTTAGAAGGGCCCTTCTTATGTATACATCACGTTATGTATTTGAAGAATAAGCACTTGTACCTCAGTAGATCAAGGTGTCAGAAGAGCCTCTGCGTTATGTATGACAGGAACTTGCCAGCTGAGCCGACAACACTTGATTGACAAAAAGGAATTTATACAAATGTTTCAGTAGTACTGCAAGCGGGGTGCATAACAATGGAGATGCTCACTATCCTGAGGTAATGTTCTGGAACATTCTTGGATCTGGATTCTTATTATTACCTGGGTAAGGGTATTTTTGGTGTCATCCTAATTTATATTCACTAACATGGGCCTTAGGGCATGTCTATACTGGCCCTTTTTGGGTAGACTGGTGCAGTCTAAATAGAGTCATTTTAGGACACGTGGAGGTATAACATGCTATTTAGTTTGATCCTCACATCCAAACAGCATATGGACCTCAGTCTACCCTATTTATTCCAGCTTCTTCCACTGTCAATTTCAGGTAGTGTGAAGTGGCTTAGTAAGTGAGCCACTTCTGGATACTGGCAAAATGAATGCTTCCCTTAAGTGAATTTATTAAGTTTTGTCTGTGGTGGACCATCACTTATGCTCTGCATAACTTAGATTAATTTTCTTTAAAAATCTTTGCCTTATGTGTAGTGATGATCAAGAAACTTCCCGCATCTATGGTTTTGACCGGCACTTCACACAAGGCAAAGAAAAATAAATTAATTTACTCTAGTTAAATTAATCGGTAGTGGTCTACCAGAGGGAAAAATAAATCACTTCCCCTACCCCACTCCCAAAGTATTCAATTTGCCGATATCCAGAAGTGGCTCATTTATTCAGCTGCTTCATGATGCCGGAAATTGACAGTGGAAGGAGTCTTGGCAGCTTTGATGATTGCAAACCTCAATTTTGGTCTGTTCCCAGATGTGCCAGAAACAGTACAAACTACAGCGAAGCTACCCACACTAAAGCCCCTGACCAGGGCTCAAAAACTTGTGGTTATTACGGGCATCCTGAGGGTGGATTGGTTTGCTCTAGTGATAAGGTTGCCTGATTGCTGTTTAAAAAATTGAGCAAACCAAACCCTCCCTGCAGCCCATCGAACAGAGGGTCAAATGCCTGTCTGATTGAGCCCTTTGTCATGCCCAGACAAAGAACAACAACAGACTTCAGGAGGCAGACCCTCTATTAGACTCCCCTGCCTTTCCCACCCCCCTCTTCTCTGTTCTTGCTCCCATTGTAGCCCTTTTCTTTCTTGATTCATTACACAAAGGGAGTCATAATAAAGCCACTGTCTGGCCTCTATTGCTTCAGTTTGCAAGTGGAGGCTGAGAGGATTGACTTTCGTCTCTCACAGAAATATAGTGTCAGTCCAGGTGTATAAGAACTGAGGTGATCAGCAAGACGTGTTATAGTCAGACTTTCTGTCTGATGCACTAAGTTTCCAGTTTGGTTTTATTTCTTTTGGTGGGGAAGAATATTCGATCCTACCTGTCTCCTTTTTATTTTTGGAACAACTGCCACGTGGACATTGTTTTTGTCTGGAGACAAGGACAGTGAGATGTGGGAGGCATTAAGAAGCCTCATTGGTGAGTAACTCTGAGAGAAATGGCAGGAGTGGCTGCTGACTGGACAGCTGTGCTTAAGGTACTAACATTGGCAAGCATTTTGCAGTGCGAGCACATCTTCACACAGCTGCACAGGGTTGACAGAACCTCCCTCTGTTACAGATATGCCCTTTTCCCTTTAGCTGTTGCTTAGAGCACTGGTTCTTAACCTTGGGTTATTCAGGAGTTTTGGACTGCAACTCCCAGAAGCCTTCACCATCAGCTGTCCTGACTGGGGTTTCTGGGAGTTGCAGTTCAAAAGCATCCGAGTAACAAAGGTTAAGAACCACTGAGGTACTGGTCCTTTTCTACTCCATTTACCCAACACTTCCCTGATTCTGTTGGCTGTTTTAAAACAGAAATGGGGGAACCTGTGGCCATCCAGATGCTGAAGGACTTTCATCCCCCCAACCCCTGGACAACCTTGCCAGGAGCGACAGAAATTGGAGCCAAATGGTGACTCAAGGGCCACAGCTCCTTTACTTTAAAATAATCACCAGGTTACCAACATGGAGGACATTTCCATGTGGGCTTTTCAATGAGCTCCCATTCATCCACCCAAGCAGTTAGATCTGTGGCAAGACCACCACAGTGAGGGAGCTTTCAAAATGTTGAAATTATGTTTGCAAACCAAGTGCCACATCTTCATATCTCCCAGCCTGAAATGGTTATTTGTAAAGTTATTTGTGAAGGGTTAAATACCTATATATTAAAAGCAAGAGAGGCAAAGACCGTAATCTTATACGTAGAGAACTTTGACAGCTTTTGTCCTTTTTTGCTTTGGTTAGTGATTTCTCTGTCGCCCTTCTCTGTGCCTATTCAGCACCTGAATTCATTTTATGTTAACAATTTTTTTCCCATTGCAGATAGCCATTTTTAAGGAGCAAGAAACAACCAGTGCTAAGTTGCCAGAAAATATCTTCCAGAGATCTTTGCAGTAGAAAACCTCAACGCCACACAAAATAAGGGGGCTTCATTCTAGCCGTCTCTCTTCTGTTTTCTGCTTTCCCACCTGTACACATCTGCTGGATTGCAGCCTGGTGCTAAAGAGAACCCTAACCCTTCAGCCTAACTCTAAGAGAATTAGGGGGAGGGGAGATGAACGTTACATAAAACATCTAATTTAAGTAACTAATCTGAATTGTCTGTCTGGGAATATTAGATGCAAATTCAAGACAACACTGTAAAGATTATTTTACTTTTTAAGAGGTGCTGACCACCTGGGAAAATATGGAAACTACCCGCCCTTTTATTGGGTGTAGTGTGGGCTACAATCCTCACTTGTGGTCCCTCCAGCTCACCCCAGTCCCCCTCAAAAAATGTTGCTCAGAAAGTCCAATTGTGCCTTCTAGGGAGAACAGGGAACCACTGTGCCATGTTTTGCCCAGCACCACCCATGTCCTTCTACTTCAAGCTTTAATTATTTTTAATGACACTAGAGAGCATAAGGTGGTTTTTCCAGTTTAAAAACATCCTGTTAAAGAAAAACATGTTGGGGATTGGGTGGGGGTGAGTAGGAGTTGGGGTGGCCCTCCAAAGCGCAATGGTGGATGTGTGTGCAGTCCCTATGGCATTTGCTCACTTCTGCATAAGATTTGTGGATGCTGACCAAGGGCTACATTCATGAAGACTAAATCCAAATCAAAGCTTTAGTTTAATTGATTCCATAGTTCCGCTCTGGTTGGAGCTAACTGTTTTTATTAGGTCTCCTCATTTATTGCACTTTCATTTCATTCTGTTACTGTTGCATATGTAAATACATGAATTCATTCCCAATCTACTAAAAGTCCATATTCCTTTAGTACTCATTTTGAATATATTGAATCTCTATCCAGCTTGATTTCTCATGGAATGGAACTGAATCAGTCAAAACAGTTAATTCCATTATTGAAGTTCGTCAAGAGTGTTGGACTTAAACTCAATCCCGTACAAGACTGAAAAATTGTGAGCACAACTTATAACAAAAACAAAACAAAACAAAACAACTGTATCTGGAGAGCCAATGTATATTGAACTACATATAGTTTTTCAGTAGGTGTAATAGGCGCTGACATACAGGTATCCACTGGTTCAGTCATGTAAATGATTATATTGATCTGACCTCTTATATCAAACAACGGCATGGCTTCATCAGTCCACACTTCTTATAACCTACTTCTAAGTTATTCATATTTATCACTATCCAGGCTGTTCTGAGTGCAGAAGTAGACAGCTTGGTGACAGGCCCATGTCTTCAGTGCAGGTTGCCACCCAACATCTGTATGCCATGGCAGGAAAAAGTCTGCAATTTTCAAATTGAGAAATGGATGTGTATGTATAGAGATGGGGATATTCATAAACGAATAGGAATATCCACCATCCCAGCTGGACCTAACGAGGGTCCGGCCCTTGGGACAGGCCTGTCCATTCGTGGATCCCAGCGCTGTGAAGGTCCTGCTCTTCCTGCCAATGGCACCAAGAGCGCTGCTGTCTCCCTGCTCCGCTGGCCACTCTAGGCAGGGGGCAGGAGGACGAGTCTCCCCACACAGCTGCTGAGTGGCCAGCCGAGCAGGGAGACAGTGGGGCTCCTGGCTGCATGGGCGAGAAGAGCCGGATCTTCACAGCGCTGGGATGCATGAATGGACGGGATGATACCAGGGGTCAGACCCTCATTAGGTCCAGCTGGGATGGCAATATTCGTATTTGTTTACAAATACAAATATCCCCATCTCTAGTATGTGCTGATTAGAGCCATGGTTCCAAAACTTGGGTCCCCAGACGTTCTTGGACTAAAACCCCCAGAAGCCTTCACCACTAGCTGTGCTGGCCAGGATTTCTGGGAATGCTAGTCCAAGAACATTTGGGGACCCAAGGTACGGAACCACTGGGTTAGAGTGTGGGACGGAGGCTTGGAAGATACAGGTTCAAGCCTCCGCTCGGTCATGAAACTCTTTCAGTGACTCCAGACCAATCAGTCTTCTTCCCACTGGCCTACTTCACAGGGTCACTCTGTGGGGAGGAAGAAGCGAGCCACATAACTTTCCTGATCTCACTGGGGGAAAGGGTCACGTGAAGACAACGACTGTAATAAATATGCTGCCTTGCCCAATGGTCCCTCTCGTTGTTTTTCTCCTAATCAGGAGAAATTGTTTCTGATCTTGTTGCTCACCAAGGACAGAAGTGGCTAGACGGAAAAGATGCTGCAAGACAACACCTATGGCTACCAGGCAAAAGACACAGTGCAGCTATTCTGTTCTTCCTCCTTTAGTGGACCGTCTGCGATAAGGGAAAGGTGGGAAATGGTGCCTAAAGAGAAGAGAGTTACATCCAAAAGACTATTGCTCCGAATGTGGCAAAATACAGTGCAACCAAGCTCTTTACTTATATTACCCATTAAAGTAACATCATGATCTTAGCAGCTGTCGTCCTGCTTTTATTTAGTGGGCTGTTTCTAGAGTAGGCGTTCTGCGATCACTCCTTGTCTTGCACCAA